ACACCCAGTATGCATAGAAGTACTTCCAAAGACCACTATTGGACATTTAAAATACATTAAATTAATTTCAATTTTTCATTTTAATCAACCATTTTGAATAATTCCTTTAATAATTTTGGGTTGTCCCTATCAGCCTTTATGCGATGTACAATTGTGTAGCTGGTTTATGATGTTTTTTCTTTGGCAGATTCTATATTAATTTATTCATTAAAAGGTGTATTCATAACTTAATTTCTCTAGCTATGATTGAGGGGTCCTGAATAGAATGATGGGTAGAGCTGTGAACAATATTCAGAACTATTCACTAAATTATATCAACCATTTTTCACAAACACATATAATCAATCATTCATTCAAATAGTATTCATAAATTAATTTCTCTTTAGTAAAAACATGAGGGTCCTGAAAAGGACCATGTGTAGAACTCTGCAAAGGGAAATTGTTGTATGGTTTTCCTTTTCCAGCCACCCTGGATAGATGAAGTTGAAGTTATCCTGTTCTTGAAACTGCTACTTCACCTTTAAACCAAATCATCATCAGAGTAAAAGGAATATTCAGATTCAGCATCAGAATCGTGAGACTCCATCTGGTCAACTTTACTCTTGAGCTCCTCAACAACAGCGGTCATCTCAGTTGCATAGTGGTAAAACATCATCTTCATGTTGCTGAGAGTGGATAGTTGTAGTCGCAGGGAGTAGTGCTGAGCCTCTCTCTGGTTCTGCTTGGCTCGCTGGTAGCGGATCTCCAAATTCTTGGCTCTGTCATCAATCAGCAGCAGTTGGTCACAGGCCCTGAGGAACTTTCTGTATGCGACATCAAGCTGCTCAGTGGTTTGCTCCCGATCAGAGTGTTGTTCTCTCTCTGGCACTCCGTAGACTTCAGATTCTTGCATAGAGTAGGAATCCATTGTGTTTGTGTGTTTAGAGTTGTGAAGTGATTGCTAGGCAAGTCAGATCAGTAATGATTTCAACAAGACTGCAGCCAGTATTTATATAATTTTACAGGAAACTAATGCCACTTCAAAAAACTGACATCAGGCAGTTTAAAACTTCAAACAAAACATTTCAAACATTGACATCAGAAAGTTGAAAACTTCAAACAAAACAGTTCAAACAATGACATCAGATACATGTAGTTTAAATCTTCAGTTAAATAGCTCAAATAATGACATCAGACAGTTTAATACTTCAAACAAAATAGTTCAAACAATGCCATCAAACAGCTTGAAACAAAACAGGCAAAAAATTGACAAAGAAGTTTTGTAGTAACATTTCACAGAAAAAAGTTTTCAACAGCGAACATAAGGGCTCAACTGGGAAAAATGACACCAGTTTCTCAAGTTATTTGGAAAAATTCAAAAGAGGTTGACATACTTATTTACCCTTCTATTTTGCAATATCAGGCCCTAACCCCCAAAACTCAGAACCCTCCCTAGCAACAGGCTGAACATACACACAACAATGAAGTTGATATCAGCCAAAGTCAGATATGCTTTCAGATCTAGCAAAAGGAAATTTTAAACGTATTTCATAATTCAGCATTTCTTATTACTATGCTTAGATGTTAAGTTGCTTAATGGAACATAATAATAATATCTGAAATTATTTTTCTTTTTTAATCAATAATGCAATGATTTTAATCAAGATTTTAGTCAACTTATAAATTCAAATACCAATTACAATTTATATCTTAATGTAAGTGTATCTTAAATGGATGCACCAATTTTGTGTGCCGCGTAGTTTCCAAATAAACAAATAAAAAATATGCAATAAACTGCAAACTGTAAACTGATGTGTCTCTCTCTGTTCCATTATTCATTAAAAAATGCATTTTGACATTTATCTGAGTTTGAAGATTTAGCATAATATTATCAACCATTCTTTATAAAAACATACAATCAATCACACATTCAAAAAATATTCACAACTTAATTTCTCTTTAGTAAAAATATGAGGGTCCTGAAAAGGACCATTCCTAGAACTCTGTAAAGTTGCTGCAAGGTTTTCCTTTTCCAGCCACCCTGGATAGATGAAGTTGAAGGAATCCTGTTCTTGAAACTGCTACTTCACCTTTAAACCAAATCATCATCAGAGTGTAAAGAATATTCAGATTCAGCATCAGAGTCCTGAGACTCCATTTGGTCAACTTTGCTCTTGAGCTCCTCAACAACAGCAGCCATCTCAGTTGCATAGTGGTAGAACATCATCTTCATGTTGCTGAGAGTGGATAATTGTAGACGCAGAGAGTAGCAATGAGCCTCACTCTGGCTCTGCTTGGCTCGCTGGTAGCGGATCTCCAAATTCTTGGCTCTGTCATCAATCAGCAGCAGTTGGTCACAGGCCCTGAGGAACTTTCTGTATGCAACATCAAGCTGCTCAGTGGTTTGCTCCCGATCAGAGTGTTGTTCTCTCTCTGGCACTACATAGACTTCAGATTCTTGTATTGAGTAGGCATCCATTGTGTTTGTGTGTTTAGAGTTGTGAAGTGATTGCTAGGCAAGTCAGATCAGTAATGACTTCAACAAGTCTGCAGCCAGTATTTATATAATTTTACAGGAAACTAATGCCACTTCAAAAAACTGACATCAGACAGTTTAAACCTTCTAACAAAACAGTTCAAACAATCATATCAGATAAGTGTAGTTTAAAACTTCATACGGAGTAGCTCAAACAATGACATCAGACAGTTTAAAACTTCATACAAAGAGTTCAAACATTGACATCAGACAGATTAAATAAAAAATCAAACAAAATAGTTCAAACAATGACATCAAACAGCTTGGAACAAAACAGGCAAAAAAGTGACAAAAACATTCTGTAGTAACATTTCACAGCAAAAAGTTTTAAACATTGAACATAAGGCCTCCACTGGAAAAAATGACATCAGTTCACTTTGGTCAAATCCAAAAGAGGTTGACATACTTATCCTTACATTCTATTTTGCATCAAAACTCACAACCTCCCTAGCAACAGGCCTGAACATACACACCACAATGAAGTTGATATCAGATATAAAGTCAAAGATATGTTTTAAGATCAAGTAAAAGGAAATTTTTAACATATTTTATCGTTCAGCATTTCTTATTACTATACTTAGATGTTTAGTTTCTAATGGTGTAATTCATTGTCATTTTGACATTTATCTGAGTTTGAAGATCAGATTAATGTTAAGCATAATGTATATGGAATTATTTTAATCTTTTTTTATCAATAATACAATGATTTTAATCAGGATTTTTAGTCAACTTATAAATGCAATGTCTAAAATAATAAGAATTACAATTTTTATCTTCATGTAAATGTATCTTAAATGGACGAACCAATTCTGTATGGCACTGTTGTAAAAGTGTAGTTTCCAAATAAATAAATAAAAAAATAAAAAATATGCAGTAAACTGTTAACTGATGTGTCTCTCTCTCTGTTCCATTATTCAATAATAAAATGCATTTTGACATTTATCTGAGTTTGAAGATTTAGCATAATATTATCAACCATTCTTTATAAAAACATACAATCAATCACACATTCAAAAAGTATTCACAACTTAATTTCTCTTTAGTAAAAACATGAGGGTCCTGAAAAGGACCATTCCTAGAACTCTGTAAAGTTGCTGTAAGGTTTTCCTTTTCCAGCCAACCTGGATAGATGAAGTTGAAGTTATCATGTTCTTGAAACTGCTGCTTCACCTTTAAACCAAATCATCATCAGAGTGTAAAGAATATTCAGATTCAGCATCAGAGTCCTGAGACTCCATTTGGTCAACTTTGCTCTTGAGCTCCTCAACAACAGCAGCCATCTCAGTTGCATAGTGGTAGAACATCATCTTCATGTTGCTGAGTGTAGACAACTGTAGACGCAGGGAGTAGCGAAGGGCCTCTCTCTGGTTTTGCTTGGCTCGCTGGTAGCGGATCTCCAAATTCTTGGCTCTGTCATCAATCAGTAGCAGTTGGTCACAGGCCCTGAGGAACTTTCTGTATGCAACATCAAGCTGCTCAGTGGTTTGCTCCTGATCAGAGTGTTGTTCTCTCTCTGGCACTCCATAGACTTCAGATTCTTGCATAGAGTAGGCATCCATTTTGATTGTGTGTTTAGAGTTGTGATGTGATTGCTAGGCAAGTCAGATCAGTAATGACTTCAACTAGGCTGCAGCCAGTATTTATATAATTTTACAGGAAACAAACTAATGCCACTTCAAAAAACAGTGACATCAGGCAGTTTAAAACTTCTAACAAAAAATTTCAAACACTGACATCAGACAATTTGAAACTTCAAAGAAGTTAAACACTGACATAAGACAGGTTTAAACTAAAAAAAAACAGTTCAAACAAGGACATCAGACAGTTTAAAAACTTCAAACAAAAGAGTTAAAACTTGGACATCAGGCAGTTTAAAACTTGGAACAAAATAGTTCAACATGGACATCAGACAGTTTCAAACAAAGATTTCAAATACTGACATCAAGCAGTTGCAAAGAGGACACTTTTCTATAAATTTGCAAGAGGGTTAACATTTGACAATTTTGATGCTAAAATCACTTGAAAAGTGCTCAAATGGTGAAAACTGCATGATTTTGAAATAATTATTGGCCTATAAAGTATGAAATGTATAACAAACATATTAAACACTGACATCAGACAGTTAAAAACAGACCAAACACTGACATCAGATGATTTAATTAAAACAGACATCGAATCACAAAACTTGAATGCTGACCTCAGACAAATTTTAAATCTAACACAAACCTTAAAAACATCAAACATTTTTTGCTATCAGACTTACCAACAATGACATGAAATATTTTCTCTTTTAAAATCCAAAAATCATTGTAGGTGAGTGGGTAGATGGCTGGATGGACTCTATATCCCCTCAAACTTCATTTGATGGGATAATTATGTTCATAATGATACATAAAGCTATTAACAGCATACAACAGCACATCACAAATGACATAAACTGCAGTTATAGTAATCTAAAATGGCCATAGTGTAGTAGTGTACATACCACCCAGTCATCCTGCCATGTGTTATCCTGTGGAAGGTACCCACAACATGTTGTCACCGGGAAACCAAACCTTGACACATATTCTAGGCTTTCATCTTTGTGGACAGAGCTTTCTTGGAGAGATAATCTTTTCCCAACCTCATCATTATAAAGGTGCATTCTAAAAATAATCAAATTGTGATCAAAGCAGGAGCTTTATAAATTATTAAAAATATTATTATTAAAAAATGGTATGTTCACCTTCTGATTTACAAACAGGTATGGGAGTATCACTGGGAAAATTTTGTCCTCTCTTCGGAAGGCCTGCAAGGCACCCATGATAGAGTTTGCAGGTACTCTGATTACTATCCTTCTTTTTCTTATTTCAGACTAATTTTTACTCCTACACCAATTATTGCTTCACTATTACTGTACATCAAAAGGTCAACCTCATTCCAAAGTCTTATTACATCAGAGGTAAAGGAACGACATGGCGAAATATATTATTGTTGATTTGAAACTTACTGTGCCAGCTGCTCTCCCAGTTGTGACGCATATTTTGAAAGACTTTTGATATCGACATATTCTGCCACTAACACAGCGCCACCTGATGGCTGGTCTATCACCTAAAAAACAAATCATACCAATAAAATATAGTAGAAGGAGGAAAAGAATGACAGACATGCCTGAGTCTAAATGCAACTAGAAATCCTACATTGGGTGACCATTTTGAATGTTACCAGGCCCAAACAAGAAAAATTATACAATATAATGAAACTAATTTTTTATCCTAAAACTAGTCACCACTATTTATATTTCCAACAAATATGAAGAGTATTCAAGTTATATCCCGGACAGGCGGATGGACTGACTGATGGATGGACGGAGGGCTTCACTATATCCATGGGCTTTCAAGAGAACTTTCAGAACTTCTGCTTATCTGCTACATGTATGTATACCAAAGTGCAGATTCGCATTCAAGGCATGTAGAGAATTCCAGCAAGTTTACCTCAAATTTGAGAAAGTAGGAGGGGCAGTGTCATGAATACACCCTGTTTGTCAAAATCCTGTTAAACAAACATTTCTTCTGGTGATCCAAGAACTTCATGTACATATAGTAAGTAAATACCTTGCTCAGCCTTACTGACCTTTATAGGTTTAGGAGCTCTTATGGTTTCTGTCTTATCAATTGCCTCTAAACTTGCATATTCTCCATCAAACATACGCCTTGCCTGCAAGTACAGTTGACTGGATATATAGATATATTAGGCCACAATATTTTACAGTTCGCTTTACATTAAATTCATTGGGGAAGTTTCTACTGTAGGATTCTGCTATTAGACACTAGAATATGTGATGACTTGAGCTGGTAACTTGAAGAATTGTCTATAATTTATAAGATGATCATGATTTTATTAACCAAAATCAAAGAAACATATTAACAAACATAGGCGTAGCCAGGGTGCGATGGGTGCGATCACACCCCCATCCCCCTCCCCCCAATATACTCACTCTAATATAGCTCTTAATACCTATGTGCCGAACCAAAACCCCCTTTTTGAGCCTTTCTTCCTTGTCAATTTCCTCTCAAGATTGAAGGTTTCCATCTTTAGTTCCTCTCAGACTAATTATATAAGTCATTTAATGTCACGAAAAAAAGTTGAAATTGACTGCAAAATCTACTTTTCCAGTGATTTGTCTCAGGCTTTGGCAACTGATATCGCCAATCTTAATACCATTCTTGGTTGTGCTGTACACACCTACCCAAATAATTTAGAGTGAACCTGTTTGACATTTACCTCAGATTTGGAATTATGTTTTGCAAATATTCTTCCTGTGTCTGTGACATATCCCTGGCCACTGCTAATACAGCCCCCACCCCCAAACCCATAAGGCTCCAAGCGGCTAGTCCCCAGTTCTCGCTTCAGGAGTTCCTCCATGGAAATCTAAAATCATCACCACTTTATTATACAGTATCTGATATTGTTTGAAAGAAACAGAGAAAATGAGTAGATGGGTACCAGAGACAGAAACGATGTGAAACATTGCTTCCCTGTCCTCTATACTAAGATGATAACACAAATAACATATCCCATGCCAGGACTGCAGTCCTGAGAATGTCTCAATCTTTTGCCTGTAGAATTTTCTACGCCTCTTACACTTACATTGTAAGATACATGTACCTACTTCAATAGATTCCTGGTTTTTTTAGCATTCTTTTCGTGCAGTTGAATCGACGATTATCTGGGTTTATCAGCAGAACAAGAACATTTTTCTTTTTCATAGAAAAAACAAGGAATCTATTGAAGTAGGTATCGTAAGTGTAAGAGGCGTACAACATGGGAGAATTTTTTCTCCCATGTTGTAATCATACAGGCTAAAGATTGATACAGTTGGGGACAAAAGTAAATGACAGGTCGATTTTCGATCACCATTTCCTAATTATGGTGGTCTGAAAGCCCATAATTTCCAATATTGTCTAGATTCATATCCCTTAAAATTTGTATATTTTACATTTTGTATAATCTCATCCACTGATTTATGGCCTCTTGTAAATTCTCTTATTTTTAACATGGGAAATCCTCACTTCAGCAAATCCACCTGTCATTTATTTATGTCCCCAACTGTATGTTCTCAGGACTATAGTCCTGACACGGATTAAATTGGTACATGTACTAGATGTTCGTCGCAGTGAAGTGTTAACCTTATCAATTTCTACAGCTATATGTAAAATTCCAAGAATTGGTCAATTGTCTTCTATGTTCACAAAGCCTACTTTCTACTATCAATTATCACTCACCAGTGATAATTTAGAAAAATATATAGACTAACCACCTACTTTTAGTACATACTTAGAAGATTGTGGAAACAAGATGGATACAATTACCTTAAATGGATCTTATTTTACACCATGATACAATTAGATGGCCATGACAAGCCTTCTACTAGGTTAAATTATAAAATACACGACTCTAAAATATATTTTCATATTTTCTCTTACCGGAAGTGTCTGAGTAACATCTATAATGCAAACTTTATGCAAGATCCTCTAAACAAACAAAGAAATAGTAATCGTATTATGTTTGCTATAATATCAAAAATAGATATCATAATATTTTATTTGTATAATCAATTAGATAGATTGATATTTGAAAAACAAATATACATGGAATGAATCAACAACTATTTTAATACAACAATTTCGGTTCTTAACTCTACATTTTCGATCCTTCATTTATATTTACGTTGCTGGATAAATTCCCTACAGATCAGCCGGTAGTTTATTGCACAATATCTCCGTAAGTAGATCCTCTAACATACTACATTGAGTTTAGTCTACACACTGTATTAAGTCTGATAATTGCTTCAAATTTTGATGTTTTTTGTGATCGAAATTGGTGGTAAAGTAGATTAAAATATTGTTTTTTTAAATTCTTTAAAAGACCATTTGTGTTATTTTAGCCTTTGCATTGGTTCGACTTCGCTTCTCTAAAGAGTGCTTTGTTTTCACTCTTTCAGTTTTCAATAAATCTCTGTCCTAACTGCGGTAATCAGAGTTCATCGTCGAAATAAGGACGACTTTCTTTGTACGGTCCACAGTTATCCCGTGCCAGGACTAGTCTATATTCCTGAGAGTGAGAACGTCTCAATCTTTTGCCTGTACGATTACAACATGGGAGAATTTTCTACGCCTCTTACACTTAGATACCTACTTCAATAGATTCCTGGGTATTTTATTCTTTTCGTGTAGTTGAATCCACAATTATCTGGGTATATAGACAGAACGGCAACATTTTTCTTTTTCATCCAGAGAGATTCCATCACTTTTCAAGATGGCGGTTGGATTTAAAAGGAGATTCCCGTTTGACTGGCCCAGAAGTGGCCTGGAAGTACCAATAAATGGAGGAATTTGATGGTTGAAATAAGTTAAATTTTACACACAAATATTGTGATCAAAAACAAAAATTTCTTCGTTCTGCCGATAAATCCAGACAATTGTGGATTCAACTAGACGAAAAGAATGCTAAAATACCAAGGAATCTATTGAAGTAGGTATCTTAAGTGTAAGAAGCGTAGAAATTTCTCAAATTCTCCCATGTTGTAATCGTACAAGCAAAAGATTGAGACGTTCTCGGGACTATAGTCCACGGGATAAGTCCACAGGGGCTTGGCTAGTCCAACAACATTAGACCTAGCCGGGCCTCGTTTTTTATCTGACCTCCATGATCATTTTGCCTTTGATGCGTTAATTTAATCGTTCAGTCGTTCAAGCAGAACTAATTAAACCCTGAAAACATGGTAATATTACATAAAGAATGTGATTCAAGCATGCATACATACCTTATGAATGCCTACACAAGTATTAAGGCAAATATAAAGGCCGCCATTTTGGATTTTTTGTCTTAAAACTTTGTCTAGTCAACTGATTAGTGTTGGCCATTCAGGATAAAAAAATCTATTGGTGGTGTCATGTTGTACACATTTGTGTTCTTGTTGACATGTTATGTCAAACAAAATTTATTTCAACAAATTATATCTAGGCAACTATTCCTGCATTACAACATTGATTCTTATTTTGCTCTACTTGCATTTAAAAACTTCAGCAGCATCTTTATCCAATTCAGCGAAGTATTTAAACTTCCACTCTCCATCTTTGCAATAAGTAGACAAGAACTCTAGAAAATAACACCATTAAAATAATGGCACATATATGTTACAGTTTATCTAAAGCATCCTCAAACTAAATTGAGGCAACAGAATTTCTAAAAAACAAACCCAATGTCCTGTTTAAGAACCCCTATTCTTACTATTGTAAATGGATTCTAGCAATACTATCCCATATTAATCTACTTGTTGAGACTCTATCAACTTGAGTTTTTCTGATAAAATGAGGTTTTCAGCAAGGGTGCATTGATTTAACAGGGGGATATACACCATTGACTATCGACTCATTAACTCAGAACTCTTCGAGTCTCAACAAGTATATTCATATGGGAAAGTATTGGTAGAATCCATTTTCAATGGTAAGAATAGGGGTTCTTAAACAGGACATTAAAGCTAACTAAGGCCTTTTTGCAATTTTTGGTTAGCTCTAAAATGACATTCTTCAAATAATGTATCCAAATTGTTAAGATGATAATACTAACCAGAGGGCCTGTGTTACTAAGAAATGTTTTAGGAATGGCATTCCTTTGATTGGGCAATTCTTGTGCTGTTCCAGTCTGTATTGTTACTGAGATTGTCCCCATTGATCATCCCCGTAGCAATACAGAAAAATATTGGTACGGAGGCTTCGAGACGACAATCTCAGTAGCAATACAGAGAATACAGAATATTCTAGGGACTATCTCCTTAGTAAAAAATGTTAACACCTTTTAATCTGAACACTTTTAGCCAGTTCAAATGGTATTCGGAGTAGATAGGTTTTACTGTACTTGAAACTTGGAAATAGGTTAGATGATTTAAAGATAAATATGCTTGTTAGAGGTCTAATCCAATACTGTATTTAATCGAGTGTTTACTTATTACATTTTTAGTTGGATTTCGTTTATGATTCGACAATTTGCTTACAAAATGGCAGGAATTCCTACTGAGACAATCGCTGCATTCAAGGCAAAGTTTGATGCAGATCCGAAGAATCATCTGGCTCAAAATGTTTGCTCACGTCAAGATATGTTAGATGTCGTCCTGAAGCGTGATGTCATCAATGGACCCCATCATGTTTATACTCATAAGGTGAGTGTTTAAGATTTATCAATCTACTGATAATCCTGGTTGAAAATTACATAGGTACAATCTGGAATAAAAAAGTGAGCTATTGAATTTTTTAAGGTAGCAAGTGGCTACAATGCAAAATTAAGATTTTTACTCCTTTTAAATCCTTAAAAAATTGACCTATCATAATGTTTTAGATCAAAACTGAAGGGAAACCAGTGACCAATCAGAAGAGCTCTGGAAGATGTTGGATCTTCGCGTGTATGAATGCTATCAGAATTGCCTTCTGTAAGGAGAAAAATATTGAGGATTTCGAATTCAGCCAAGGGCATCTGTTCTTTTGGGATAAGGTAAAAACTACACTATTTTGATTTTTTTTATGTGTCACACTTATCATTCCGGAGGCATCTACTTTTTAAAATATGAAACATCAAATTATCATTCATTTTATCGCATGCTTTCATTTTTGATGATTTTTAAATCCATTTAAACTTACATTACTTGAAAAATGTGAAAATATTTTGTTTTAAAAAATAAAGACTTTTTTGTTTTAGAATAGTAAAGAGATGGCCAATGTCAAAAATAGATTTTATAGTATATGTTACAGTAAGGCCTGTATAAGTAGAACACCTTTGGTACCTCAAAAATGTTCCTCTTGGGAGGTTTTCGAGGTACAGGGGTACAGTGTGAACTTGAAACCAAAACTCACTTGGAACTCTCATAAGCCATAATAAGCAATACATGTGCATGGGTATATGAAGGCTAGTGACAAATAGACAAGATGCAAAATTTAAGTTGCATTTTGGAACATGTGTCTTTGATAAGATAAACCTTGGCCTTACTTAGTTCTTGACCTTGTTCAAACATATGAACATGTCTCTGTCTCATGATAAAAAATTTTCAGTATTAAATATTTGTACTGGATTCATTATGTACATGACTACATGTGAGTCACATGATAAATAGTAAATTCCCTCTGTCATATAAAATGCAACTGTAACACTACTGTAATGACCTTTGGTAGCAAGTTGCTTCTACAGTCTCAGCTGTAGTGGCTAGCCCTTATGGCTCAGGGGTAGAGCGTCTGACTGGAGAACAGAAAGTCCTGGGTTCGATTTCCACACTGGGCATTGAATTGAGCACACTCCCTTTTGGGTCTAGTATCTGGCTCGTTACACTACAGCTCCCAGATGGACTTGCCCAAAGGTCGTTACACTACATTAAAATATTAATATTTTTCAGATTGAAAGAAGCAACTACATCCTCAGTGCACTGACAGAAATCTTAAAGAAAGGAGAGAAAGTGGATGGCCGCTTAATCTCCCACCTCCTGCACAACCCATCAGAGGATGGGGGGCAGTGGGACATGCTGGTCAATTTGGTGGAGAAGTATGGACTGATGCCCAAGAAATGCTGGCCAGATGTGTACAGTTGCGAGAAATCAATGCGACTTGGAAGACTCATCAATAATAAAGTATGTTATATGCTTGCATCTCATAATTTGGAAAGGGTTGTATGAATACACTTAAATAGTTGCCATAACTTACCAGGTCGTAGGTAACATGTTTTCATCTTATTGTCTTGTTGTCTGCTTGTTTTATTAAAACTGCTTTGGAATTGTACATTAGTATGATTACATTTTATAATATTCTTTCGTCATTTGGAATCATATGTTGAGTGTAGTCTACAAAAAAAGGTTTTTCAATGAGAGATTGCTCATTAATAAATATAATTATAAATAACATCCATATATCCATATACATGTATGTAAGTGTAAGTCTTTTGATATATTGTACATTGTAGTTTTTTAAAATCAATATATTGTTTATTGTCTTGTATATTGTACTTATTCATTGTAGATCAGGGAGTTTTGCTACAAGTTAAAGAAAGCTGTAGATGAAGGTTCAACAGATGATCAGCTCACAACTCTGAGGGAAACAATGATGGAAGAGGTTTGTTCTTCTCATGTACATTAGATAATCTTGCAATTAGTACCAGCTAGGAGTTAACAATTTTCACTTCTCAAAAATATTTATTTTGGATCTAAAAGCCTGCCTTCATAGGTAATGAAAGCCTAGATGCTACCTCTTGACCTCTGACGTCATAAATAGTCATGTGATCTCTGTTTAGGGATTGATCATTCTGACAAGCTTTGCTTTTATTAACATATATTAATGTACCAATATCTTACTACCCTTGACCAACCAACATATTTTCATAAATCTGAATATTGCATATTTTTTATTGATCAATTTAAACATCAACAAGACAATTGGATTTTCAATAAACTTCTCATTCACACCTTTAGCTAAATACATGTACAAAGTACCAATAAAACCACGAAAAGTGTACTTTATTTATTTTGCAGATGTACCGTATTATTTCGATCAGTGTTGGAAGTCCTCCTGAGACAATCATTTGGGAGTATTATGATAAGGACAAAAAATACCAAAAAGTGGGGCCGATAACACCATTAGCTTTCTACCAAGAACATATCAAGCAAAATGTATTCAACATGGAAGACAAGGTATGTGTATTGTAGATTTTATCCACTGAGTAACATTTCATTTTTACCACCAATTTTTGTAATTGACATTGACATTGGTTCATTTTACAAGTTTTACATTTTTTTATAATGTCCCCACCACATAGTGTGGGGCCATATTGTCGGCCTAGGCGCTAATGTCCCCACCACATAGTGTGGGGCCATATTGTCGGCCTAGGCGCGTCAGACTGTCTGTCCGTCCGTCTGTCCGTACATCCGGGAGTTTTCTCCAAAGCTGCTTCAGATATCACCTTCAAATTTTCAGGGATAACTTATGAGTGCATATAGATGTGGATGAAAAAAATTTAACTCGAAACCTACTTCCTGTCGGCCATTTTGAAGTCAAATGCTAAAATCCTTGTCTGCAAACTTTAAGAAAAATGACTTCACAGTTGCTTTTAAAACTTGAACATCTTGTTCAGCTCACTTCATTCTACATCTGATTAGGTTTTGGACCTGTTAGCTCAGTCGTGTCAGCCATTTTGAATGTCTTAAGAAAAGTTAGCACGCGATAATACTTTGTATCATATTGAATGGTGTTTTTGAGTTTTCATACTTTAACTATTTAGTAGCTTTATAAATAATTTCAGATGTACTTTGTTGTAAAACCCTATGTTATTGTTAACAGTAGTTATATGTGATAATTTTGTAAAAAGAAATCAGCAAAAACTCATAATAACTTTTTTATTGTCGGCCATTTTGGATTTTTCGGTCCTAAAATCTTGTCTGTGAAGTCTTGTCTGCAAGTTTTCAGGTGAACCGTTTGGTGGATCAATTTCAAATTTTCAGGGATGATTCTTAGTATGAAAATCTAGATCTCATTAGTTTTTTGGCATTCTGGGTAAATGTCAAGGCAGCCATTTTGGATTTTCCGTCCTAAAATCTTGTCTGTTAAGTCTTGTCTACGTGTTTTCAGGTGAACCGTTCAGTAGATCAATTTTAAATTTTCAGGGATGATTCTTAGTATGAAAATCTAGAACTGATTAGTTTTTTGGCATTCTGGGTAAATGTCAAGGCAGCCATTTTGGATTTTCCGTCCTAAAATCTTGTCTGTAAAGTCTTGTCTACGCATTTCCAGGTGAACCATTCTGTAGATCAATTTCAAATTTTCAGGGATGATTCTTAGTATGAAAATCTAGATCTGATTAGTTTTTTGGCATTCTGGATAAATGTCAAGGCAGCCATTTTGGATTTTCTGTCTTAAAATCTTGCCTGTAAAGTCTTGTCTATGTGTTTTTAGGTGAACCGTTTGGTAGATCAATTTCAAATTTTCAGGGATGATTCTTAGTATGGACATCTACATCTGATTAGTTTTTTTGCATTCTGCATAAATGTTAAGGCAGCCATTTTGGATTTTCTGTCCTAAAATCTTGTCTGTAAAGTCTTGTCTACCCGTTTTCAGGTGAACCGTTCGCTAGATCAATTTCATGTTTTCAGGGATGATTCTTAGTTTGAAAATCTAGAAACAGATTAGTTTTTTGACATTCTGGGTAAATGTCAAGGCAGCCATTTTGGATTTTCCATCTTGAAATCTTTTCTGTAAAGTCTTGTTGACATGTTTTCTGGTTAATTGTGTGACGGATCAATTTCAAATTTTCAGGGATGGTTCTTAGTATTAAAACCTAGAACTGACTAAATTTTTGGCATTCTGGGTAAATTTTATGGTGGCCATTTTGGATTTCCGTCCTCAAATTGTGTTGGAAAAGTCTTGTCTACTCATTTTCAGGATAACCATTTGACAGGATCACCCATTGGTGGGGACATTTTGTACACATTTGTGTTCTTGTATTTTTTTGTATCCATTTGCAAGAATTGATAGTTTGTTGCCCTGAAGTTTTTTTTGGTTTCTTAATAAAAAATGCCAAAAGTGTATAATTGACATGGTCATTCCTTGTTTATTTGTCCTGTAAGGCACCATAAGGAAACAAAAATCTGAGTGATGTTAGCAGAAAAAAGCAAGTCAAACTTCGCACAATGCACTGTGTCTCGATACAGCCATCTATACTTCGTATCAAACTATTAGACCATGCTACTTCATGCTTTAGGATATTTTAACAGTATTTCAATGGTTAGCTTACCTTCATTAAACTATGTTAATCAAATAAGATCTGCCAAGTTCTAATCAAGTAAATGAACCATTGAATTGATGTATGTTTTGCTTCATTAAAACTAATGAGTTGTAATACCTGTGTAACTTCATGTATACACATGCAGGAAATGGCTGTATTACATGTTTATCCCTATGAATGAAGTATGATTCTAAATCGGACAGTTCATCCATCTGTCTGTCAATCCGTTAACCCCCCTATCACACCAAACTCGTTCTTACCCGTTCTTGCCAGTCCTACGAAAACGTCGTAAAACGGGCTCAATCTGGCTGTGGTCGGGAAATATGTCTGAAATAATTAGCTTCTTCCTTCTTAAACAGTCTTCAATACGTCCTTCTCGTTCGCAGTTCGTTCAGGTCGCACCATGTCGGTGTGCAACGTAGTAGAACGCGTCCCTTAGTCTAGAAGGTCAACATGACCTGATTACACAATGTTATGGTCGCCATCGAATTTTGAATCGATTCAAAATTCTAAAATCACATTCCCGTCTGAGAACGATCATAAAGTTCGTAAATAGACCTTAGAAAGTTACAGCTACGTTCATTCCGTTCGCACACAGTTTTGAAGAACGCAGTGGCAACTTGTTTGGTGTGATAGCTATATTTTGCTAACTCGTTCATAAGCAGCGTTAAATACGTTCTCAATCAGTTTAAACCCGTTTGCAATTAGTTCTACCTCGTTCTCAACACGTCCTCAGACAATTCAACTCGTTGTTAAAACGTCCCTAGTAGGATTGAAGTACGACGGTTCCGTTCGTAGTACGTCCAGCTCGTCATTAGTACGTTGTCACTCGTTCTAATTGTAGAACGTGACGACCACGAGAACATTTTGAGCATTGTCTAAGTTCTAGAGGACCTACCCGTTCGAGTACGTTCGATGAAGTTTGTTAATAGATCCCAAACGGTTCTTAGTAGGTCCAGTCCGTTCGTACACAGTTGAAGCCCGTTTTTGAGAACGTAGTGAGAACTAGTTTGGTGTGATAGTAGGGTCACAAACCCATTTCGTTGTAGATTGTATTGACTAATGATCCAAGGCCACAGAATCCATTCAATAAGCTGTATACAGTGGAATACTTAAACAATATGATGGGTGCAAGGCCTGTATTATATGTGAATCAACCCGTTGATGTGCTCAAGAAATGTGCCGCAGAATCCATCAAGAATGACGAGGTAATAATGTATTGAAATATGACTTGACAACTATAATATATCTAACTTTGTCTTGCCTAACTGCATGGCTAACTCACATGTTTTTTGGATGATGATTCTTATAGTTTGAGTTAAACACACATCACATAGGAATGTGTTTTAATGTTTTATGTACACTTTTGTGATATTTGGAAAACATGTATGATTGACACATTCCATTTTTTCATGTCTTCACTGTTTATCTGAAAATGCTCATATTTTACTTTGTTTGAGTGGATATTCCTGATAAATCAATTGTAGGTAAGTTTGTTATTATTGGTGGATATTGTTAATGTGATGCCTCTCTGTCAACCTACCCTACCTATTTTTTTGGAAAATTTGAACATTAACAACTGTCACTGGATTTTTCCGGAGACCTTATACCTAATCCTCAAACTAATCCTTAGAGAGCCCTAATTCATAATATGTTCATGTACATTTACAAGTTCTCTAAAAACATGAAGCATAAACTCCATTGCTAATATATGCTTTATATTTTTTGAACTTTTTCTACAGGCTGTATGGTTTGGCACAGATGTTGGGAAATGCTTCAACGGAAAACTTGGCTTCAATGATACAGAAATGTAAGTTCATTTTAGGCACTTACTTAACCTGAGTGACATCTATATAACCAGTAGGTTAAGTGATTTTGTAGTAAATCACAGAATAATGTCCATACTCTCCATGTTAGATTAAGGGTAAAGATCAGGCAGGAATTTTTTCCCACTCTTTGGATAATTATCTGGGGGTCATATACAGAAAGTTCGTAAAGTTACGAATTCGTAAATCAATTGTTGCAACCATGGATATAATGGCGTCACAGTTAGAGAACAATAGACTTTACGAATTCTTAACTTTATGAAGCTTCTGTTAATGGCCCCATGGTGATCCTTCACCTGCAACTGTTTCTTGTCCAATCCTAAAAAGAAGTAACACTGGAGTGTTACATAATGCCCATTAGGGATAAGCACCACTGACTTCTTGTTTAGGCCATAAGAAGTAGATTCTTTGTTTTGCGTCCTGGCAAAATCTAAATCATGCAAGGGTACAAGGAAAACAAACACAAACTCAAGAAAAAACACAAACTTGTTTGCTGAGAAATGTATACATTTTATGGGCATAAAAAGGGATGGCATACCAATTTGCAGTGATTACAAACACATATCTATACATTTTATACAATATCTTTAAAAATAGCTATTATTCAAGGGTAAAAAATAAGAAAATACACAATATATGCCAAAGTAATTATAACACTGTCTATTTTGACGCACATCAAATTATCCGCCATTTCGTCTGTTTCTGATTGAACGGAATGCGATATGATGGTACTTTCAGACCCTTGTGATTGCTATTTAGATGTGTTTATTTTTTTTGTTTACTCAAAATCGTGCAAGCAAGGGGACACAAAACAAAGAATCTACTTCTTATGGCCTTATTATAGCATGTAACAAATCATCTAGAAAGTGTGAGAAATATGTTTATTGATTTGCATTTTCATTGTGTGTAGAATTCAATGTGATGCTTTAGACATTACCCCTAAATGACATTACAGTAAAACCTGTCTAAGTTTAACATAATCAAGGCACTGGTCAAGTGTAAGGATTAGCTGGTATTAACATTTAAAGTTTCTTAATATGTAAGTCAATGAGAGATAACGAAATAGGAACCTAGAAAGTGTACACATGTTCAGATTAGAGATAATGTTGGATTTACAGGTTTTGCTGTATTAATTTGTGTTTTATAATGAACCACTGTTGTTGACTGAATCCGTACATGTATTTCAGGGTTCACAATTGATGAAAAATATGATTCGAGTGACAATCAAACATTGACTTTCAGTACAATTTGATCTTTTGGCAATCAGTGTTTTCCTAGTCAATTGCCAATGACCATAAATAGATTGCCATTGGCAGTTAGGCAGCTGTGAATTTTTAACATTGGTGTATTTAAGGTATGACTATGACTTGGTATTTGGAACTACTGTACTAGGCTTGAATAAATCAGACAGACTCATCTATGTATTTGTGTTTTAGGTAAGACTATGACCTTGTGTTTGGAACTACTGTACTTGGCTTGAATAAATCTGACAGACTCATCCATGTATTTGTGTTTTAGGTGTGACTATGACTTGGTATTTGGAACTACTGTACTAGGCCTGAATAAATCAGACAGACTCATCTATGTATTTGTGTTTTAGGTGTGACTATGACTTGGTATTTGGAACTACTGTACTAGGCCTGAATAAATCAGACAGACTCATCTATGTATTTGTGTTTTAGGTATGACTATGACTTGGTGTTTGGAACTACTGTACTAGGCCTGAATAAATCAGACAGACTCATCTATGTATTTGTGTTTTAGGTATGACTATGACATTGTGTTTGAAACTACTGTACTAGGCCTGAATAAATCAGACAGACTCATCTATGTATTTGTGTTTTAGGTATGACTATGACATTGTGTTTGAAACTACTGTACTAGGCCTGAATAAATCAGACAGACTCATCTATGTATTTGTGTTTTAGGTATGACTATGACATTGTGTTTGAAACTACTGTACTAGGCCTGAATAAATCAGACAGACTCATCTATGTATTTGTGTTTTAGGTGTGACTATGACTTGGTATTTGGAACTACTGTACTAGGCCTGAATAAATCAGACAGACTCATCTATGTATTTGTGTTTTAGGTATGACTATGACTTGGTATTTGGAACTACTGTACTAGGCCTGAATAAATCAGACAGACTCATCTATGTATTTGTGTTTTAGGTATGACTATGACTTGGTGATTGGAACTACTGTACTAGGCCTGAATAAATCAGACAGACTCATCTATGTATTTGTGTTTTAGGTATGACTATGACTTGGTGTTTGGAACTACTGTACTATAATAAATCAGACAGACTCATCTATGTATTTGTGTTTTAGGTATGACTATGACTTGGTGTTTGGAACTACTGTACTAGGCCTGAATAAATCAGACAGACTCATCTATGTATTTGTGTTTTAGGTATGACTATGACCTGGTGTTTGGAACTACTGTACTTGGCTTGAATAAATCTGACAGACTCATCTATGGGGAGTCTCTGATGACTCATGCTATGTTACTCACAGGTGTCTCAATAAATGAGGTATGTATATACGTTTTGGCTATATATGGTTCTACACTCCCCTCACAAAATGTGCCAATCTTGCCTCAACAATGTACACCCTTCTCAAGCCAGTCATCATCCTAATAAGGTGTACAAAATCACTCAGAGAGAGAAAGAAGGTTTTCTGGATCTTAAGATACTGCTACTGGAGAATGAAGCCAATTCATGTTTGAAATTTATTTTTTCCTCAAATGCGTATTAGAAGTTCTTAATATGGTAAAATAGTCAAAAAGGGACGTGTGTCATAAGGATATCAGGCTCATGGTCAGCACGTATAAATTGATCCTTGACATTTCACACATTACATGATAGCTCTATTTTGTTTGAGTATAGTGGGTGGACTTGTTATTGGTTTTTCGGTGGATGATGACTAATAAATGTATTATTCTATAAGATTTGCCTATTTCTATCTTATTCATATTTTGATTAGTCTGGGAATGTCTCATTGTATTAAGTCAATAGCCAGACCAGACACATTCTTGAATATCATAATTAGTAGGATTGAATATATAATAGTTGTCCTTACATACTCCAGGAATTGGTCTTCAACTTGGAGTTCATCATCCTTATATCTCTTATTACACATTGTTATACTGTATAAGCAGTTACACTAAACATACACACTAACAGGAATCATTTGTACCTCATACATTTTACAGGAGGAATATGGGTTATATCATGAGGGTCAAATTGATGTCATAATTATTATTCATTTAATGAGGGATTTTTCCCATATCCAAAACTGAATAGTACATAACTAATTTATCCAATGGCTAGTGACTTTTAACTATGAAATATATTGATTGTTCATACTACTGTTAAATTGAAGGTATTTTGGATTTGAAATTGAGATAATGACATCCTTCAATTTGATTGAATTTGGTTGATGTCTTTAAGAAATATAACATTGGTTTCTGCAATTATAAGGCACCCTGTAAAGAATCTTATTGTATGTTGTATCTTAAGGATGAGGGTACCAAATGTTATTGTATGTCTAAAGGATGAGAGTGCCAATGTTATTGTATGTTGATAGAATGAGAGTACCAAATGCTATTGTATGTTTACAGGATGAGAGCACCAAATGTTATTGTATGTTTACAGGATGAGGGTACCAATGTTATTGTATGTTGATAGAATGAGAGTACCAAATGCTATTGTATGTTTACAGAATGAGAGTACCAAATGTTATTATATGTTTACAGGATGAGAGCACCAAATGTTATTGTATGTTTACAGGATGAGAGTGCCAATGTTATTGTATGTTGATAGAATGAGAGTACCAAATGCTATTGTATGTTTACAGGATGAGAGCACCAAATGTTATTGTATGTTTACAGGATGAGGGTACCAATGTTATTGTATGTTGATAGAATGAGAGTACCAAATGCTATTGTATGTTTACAGAATGAGAGTACCAAATGCTATTGTATGTTTACAGGATGAGACTACCAAATGTTATTGTATGTTTACAGGATGAGAGTACCAAATGCTATTGTATGTTTACAGGATGAGAGTACCAAATGCTATTGTATGTTTACAGGATGAGACTACCAATGTTATTGTATGTTGACAGAATGAGAGTACCAAATGTTATTATATGTTTACAGGATGAGAGTACCAAATGTTATTGTATGTTGACAGAATGAGAGTACCAAATGCTATTGTATGTTTAAAGGATGAGAGTACAAATGTTATTGTATGTTTACAGGATGAGAGTACCAAATGCTATTGTATGTTTACAGGATGAGACTACCAATGTTATTGTATGTTGACAGAATGAGAGTACTAAATGTTATTATATGTTTACAGGATGAGAGTACCAAATGTTATTGTATGTTGACAGAATGAGAGTACCAAATGCTATTGTATATTTACAGGATGAGACTACCAATGTTATTGTATGTTGACAGAATGAGAGTACCAAATGTTATTATATGTTTACAGGATGAGAGTACCAAATGTTATTTTATGTTGACAGAATGAGAGTACCAAATGTTATCATATGTTTACAGGATGAGAGTACCAAATGTTATTATATGTTTACAGGATGAGAGTACCAAATGTTATTGTATGTTGACAGAATGAGAGTACCAAATGTTATAATATGTTTACAGGATGAGAGTACCAGATGTGATTGTATGTTTAAAGGATGGGAGTACTAAATATTATTCTGTTTTCAGGATGAGAGTATCAAATGTTATTGTATGCTAACAGGATGAGAGTACCAATGTTATTGTATGTTTATAGAATGAGAATACCAATGTTATTGTATGTTTACAGGATGAAAGTACCAATGTTATTGTATGTTGACAGAATGATAGTACTAAATGTTATTGTATGTTTACAGGATGAGAGTACCAATGTTATTGAATGTTGACAGAATGAGAGTACTAAATGTTATTGAATGTTTAAAGGATGAGAGTAACAAATGTTATTGTATGTTTACAGGATGAGGGTACCAATGTTATTGTATATTGTATGTTGACTGAATGAGAGTACCAAAAGCTATTGCATGTTTAAATGATGAGAGTACCAAATGTTATTGTATGTTTACAGGATGAGACTACCAGTAAATGGAGAGTAGAGAACAGCTGGGGAGAAGACCATGGGGAGAAAGGTATGGGTCTCTAAAAATAAACCATATTGTCATCAATTAAACATTTGATTGGTAGGCAATTGGCCAATGAGAGAACATGTGATCTCACAGCAAAGATATGTTTGAAAACATTTGATTGGTAGGCAATTGGCCAATGAGAGAACATGTGATCTCACAGCAAAGATATGTTTGAAAACATTTGATTGGTAGGCAATTGGCCAATGAGAGAACATGTGATCTCACAGCAAAGATATGTTTGAAAACATTTGATTGGTAGGCAATTGACCAATGAGAGAATATGTGATCTCACAGCAAAGATATGTTTGAAAACATTTGATTGGTAGGCAATTGGCCAATGAGAGAACATGTGATCTCACAGCAAAGGTATGTTTGAAAACATTTGATTGGTAGGCAATTGGCCAATGAGAGAACATGTGATCTCACAGCAAAGATATGTTTGAAAACATTTGATTGGTAGGCAATTGACCAATGAGAGAACATGTGATCTCACAGCAAAGATATGTTTGAAAACATTTGATTGGTAGGCAATTGGCCAATGAGAGAACATGTGATCTCACAGCAAAGATATGTTTGAAAACATTTGATTGGTAGGCAATTGACCAATGAGAGAACATGTGATCTCACAACAAAGATATGTTTGAAAACATTTGATTGGTAGGCAATTGGCCAATGAGAGAACATGTGATCTCACAGCAAAGATATGTTTGAAAACATTTGATTGGTAGGCAATTGACCAATGAGAGAACATGTGACCTCACAGCAAAGATATGTTTGAAAACATTTGATTGGTAGGCAATTGGCCAATGAGAGAACATGTGATCTCACAACAAAGATATGTTTGAAAACATTTGATTGTTAGGCAATTGACCAATGAGAGAACATGTGATCTCACAGCAAAGATATGTTTGAAAACATTTGATTGGTAGGCAATTGACCAATGAGAGAACATGTGATCTCACAACAAAGATATGTTTGAAAACATTTGATTGGTAGGCAATTGACCAATGAGAGAACATGTGACCTCACAGCAAAGATATGTTTGAAAACATTTGATTGGTAGGCAATTGACCAATGAGAGAACATGTGACCTCACAGCAAAGATATGTTTGAAAACATTTGATTGGTAGGCAATTGACCAATGAGAGAACATGTGACCTCACAGCAAAGATATGTTTGAAGAACAAGACATTGTATATTACTTATCTGTGTTAAAAGTGAGGCATTTAAATTTCTTTTTATTAAAACAATAAAGTTTCTACATACCATTTTGGTGTATGACTGATCATATCTTATCATAGCATAATAGACCACATAAAATAATCTCAGCTATATTCTCTCTTAAAAAGGGGCAAGTGGTCCATTCTGCTTTTTTTCCAGACCATCAGTTCATTTATCCCACAAGTATAAAATTCACTTATTTGTTGTTTCAGGGTACATTCAGATGACTGACAAATTTTTCTCCGAATTTGTGTATGAAGTTGTTGTTGATAAGAAGTATGTACCTGATGATGTACAGGCTATTATGAAGACAACACCTGTAGTACTACCTGCATGGGACCCCATGGGGGCTCTGGCCCATACTGCTAAGCTGTAGAACGCCACCTCACCATATTCCTGTCTCTGAAGAAACACTGTCCCATATTGTCGAGAAAAAGGAGCATTGCTTCACTGTATTTGTTTCAAGGAACACTGCCTGGAATCCCATGCTCCCGGGCCCATGCTGTTATAAAACATTGTATCACCATATTGCAGTCTCTGAAGTAACATTGTCCCATATTGTTGAGAAAAAGGAGCATTGCTTCACTGTATTTGTTTCAAGGAACGTTGCCTGGAATCCCTTGCTACCGGGCCCATGCTGTTATAAAACACTGTATCACCATATTCCTGTCTCTGAAGTAACATTGTCCCATATTGTTGAGAAAAAGGAGCATTGCTTCACTGTATTTGTTTCAAGGAACGTTGCCTGGAATCCCTTGCTACCGGGCCCATGCTGTTATAAAACACTGTATCACCATATTCCTGTCTCTGAAGTAACATTGTCCCATATTGCTGAGAAAAAGGAGCATTGCTTCACTGTATTTGTTTCAAGGAACGTTGCCTGGAATCCCTTGCTACCGGGCCCATGCTGTTATAAAACACTGTATCACCATATTCCTGTCTCTGAAGTAACACTGTCCCATATTGTTGAGAAAAAGGTCACATCTCAAACAACATTGTAGTAACATTGTTCCATATCGCCAAGTAAAAGGAACATTACCTGGCCACACCTGTCTCAAGCAACCTTATAGTATAGGAACATTGCCTTTCCACATCTGTCTCGAGCAGCATTATAGTTTAGGAACATTGCCTTTTCACATCTGTCTCGAACAGCATTATAGTATAGGAACATTGCCTTTCCACATCTGTCTCGAGCAGCATTATAGTATAGGAACATTGCCTTTCCACATCTGTCTCGAGCAGCATTATAGTATAGGAACATTGCCTTTCCACCTCTGTCTCGAGCAGCATTATAGTATAGGAACATTGCATTTCCACATCTGTCTCGAGCAGCATTATAACTACATTGTTCCATATCGCCAAGTAATAGGAACATTACCTGGCCACACCTGTCTCAAGCAACATTATAGTATAGGAACATTGCCTTTTCACATCTGTCTTGAGCAACATTATAACTACATTGTTCCACATTGCCAAGTTATAGGAACATTGTGTTGCCACCCCTGTCTCAAAGAACATTATAGTTACATTGCCCCATAGATGTAGATATACTGTATTGATAAAACAGGATTGAATTTGGACTGTTATGATGGATTGTAGTAATTCCAGCTTTTAGCCATATTGCATTAATATCTAGACTTGTTGCAGATGAGAAGTTATAATGGACTGCAACATGCGCTAGACCAGAAGGGGGGGGGGGGGGGGTGGGGGGGGGGGGTATGTATTCCATAGAAAAAGGGGAAAGGAATACTCAAAATTGGCAATTTATATGCAAAACTACTTGAGCAAAGTCCTAAATTTTTAGGACAATTTGGTATCCCTGAAAAATTAAAAAGATTTAACACCTCATTCCTTTTGATAATGCTATTTTATAATATATTCAAATTTATATACTTGTATATATGTTTTCACTCTATATATGTTTTTCACTATAACCTACATAAAAGATATAAAATATATAAATCTATGAAATCATGTTATTAAGTCCTTGCAGGGTAATTGAACTCTCCTTGAATAAAATGGCACTCAAAATCATGGATTTTCTTCTGACCTTACGTACATACGACTGCCTTTATTAATTTTCTTGTCACTTTGGTATGTGATACCTGATAAGACATGCAATAAAAGATGTTTATAATTAGATACTACCATATACATTGTAATGTACAGATAGGTCAAATTAGGAAATAAATTAATTATTTAAAATCTATGAATTGATGATTTTTCCTTCCAGGAACAGTTGTTTTATGACAGTGTATCTTGATGTCCAGCAAACATCGATGTTAATTGATTAAAGGTCCAGTCTTTATAAGAAAACAAACGCTAGCCACTATGCAAACAAGTTGTAATAATTCCAGACAGTTCAAAACAAGATGATTACGATTGTATTATTAAAGGCCCCGTTGAAGTTTACATCAAATTTCGTATCTTACCCATTGTAATCAAAATGTAATATCTGGAACCTTTTTATTTCTAAAAGAAATTTTGAAGGACTTTTTGATATGTTCGAAAAAGTGTAAACTATTTGGTGTCTATTAGTAAGCGATCCTTGACATCAAGATTCACTGTATAAGTATAGTCGTTTTTCAGAGAAAAATGTGTGATGAATATTAAATAATATGCTGAGGTGACATCAAAGTGTAACCCGTTGACATCGTAATAGCATAAGGTTTTATATGTGAATTAAAATTAAATGATGAAAATATTGTAACGCTTAATTTATCTATCCTATGTCATTAAAAAAATGTGAGCAGTGAAGTATTTGATAATCCACTGTATTTAAAAATCTAAATACCGAATAATGGTGTACGTCTATTTGAAAATTAATATTAACGTTTCTTTAATATCTTTAATTTTTAAGTTATGAGAAATAATATCTGCATCATAAAACAAAATTTTACTCTACACGGGGCCTTTAAAGTCATGTCTGGTTTTCTAGACATGTAAATAAGTAAAAGTGGTAAACAACTTGACGTATTATTTTATAAATCATCTCAAGGGGACAGTAAAAGATGAGCTGAGAGTACACGTGTGACAAAATGTCACAATTTTATATTTTTCAAAATGTTCAAACGCTCCATTGGCGTTCTGCGATATACAGTACAAACCGTTATTTCTAAGTCTGACATATCTTGAAACAATGTATATTACTTCGATAAGAGGGGGGACCCCCATACGATGACTGACATATCACTGATTACGTCTATTGCGCGCCACCTTCGTTTGCGCAAATTCTCACCAGTTAGTTTTTGAATATAACTAGTCTTTCTGATGTTTTTAATCGATTTATAAACATATTCCGTTGATCTTTCTTTATCTTGATGTGAAATAACAAGCTATGATATTACTCGAAGCGTTATTAGAAAATTTTGAATCCGCCGTTTTTGTTTGTCGATTTGGACCAATCAGATGTGTACGTCATCTCAATGAAATGTATAAAAGATTTTATGAGATTTGTCATTCCTTGTTTTGTGCATTTTCATGAAAGTGTTTTAATAAGATATTTCTGAAAGAATATCTACAAACAAACATTGTTTACTATTTTGGTGGTAGTTCAAAAAGTCTAAGAATTCTGCCAAGATCATTTTTATGATTCTTTTATCTGAGAGGCCACAATACAACATGCAAAGTGAAGTCGAACGAATGCAAAGGGTATTACTATTCGCTAGCAAAACCATCATTGACCCACCCCCTTCACCCAACAACTGCTGGTAATTGGACACCATCCATTGTTTTCTCCTGATGACCATTGTGAATTATTGTGTTTTATGGATTATGGCGATGGCTTTTGTGAATGGATGTTGACCTTTTGAAACGCCTATGGACTTGGAGACTGGATTTTATCTATCCCACATCATTTGAGATTGAATGCTCTATCTACAACTATTTTTGAGGTTATGAGTATTGGCTATCAATTAGATTATTTCTTGCTCAAATGGCTAAAAATTTACCGAAAGTGATTGTCTTGTCTGAAACATGGCTGCAAGATGGTACAGAAAGTACATACAATCCACTATTTTCAAATTACAATGCTTTTTATCGTTCTAGGAAAGACAAACAAGGTGGTGGTGTAGCTATTTTTACCTTAAAAAATATTAATGTCAAGTCCAGATCAGATCTAAAGTTTGATGATGTAAATTGTGATTCCCTATCAGTAGAAATATTAAATAATTCTTCAAAAAACATTTTAATTACTGCCATTTATAAACCACCACAAATAGACATAAATGAATTCAATATCAACTTAAAGGCTTTCATGTCTAAAGTAGACGAGTCTAAGAAGTTATCAGTTTTGGCTGGGGATTTCAACATTGACCTTTTTAAGCATGAATTACATGACCCCACTAAAGACTTCTTGAACTTGCTTTATTCATTTAACCACCATCCCCTTATTTACCGTCCTACTAGAGTAACATCCCACTCTGCTACACTAATTGATAATATTTTTACTAATATAAATAACATAAAGCATGGTGATGTAATAATTATGGACATATCTGATCATTTTCCTGTATTTGCATTAACTAGTACTGTATTGAGGAAGTCCACAAGCAAAGAAATTTCATATAGAATTTTTGATAAGCGGAGTATTGGAAATTTCAAACAAAAGTTGAGTGTTTTAAACTGGGATATTTTGCAAACTACCGATGATGTAAATGATTGCTTCGAAATGTTTTCAGATATTTTTCAAAACATATACAATGAATCTTTTCCTCTTAAATTAAAGAAAGTGAAACTTTTTGTTGATACTTCTAAGCCATGGATTACAAATGGGATTATCACATCAGCCAAGCAAAAAAATAATCTTTATCGTAAATTTATGAAGACCCCTAGTGAAGAAAATGAAAGAAACTATAAAATATATAAAGCAAGGTTCAGAGCTATTTTGAGAGCTGTAGAAAAAACCCACTATCGGAATCAATTTGAAACTGCATCTGGAAATATTAAACAAACCTGGAATATTATCTCTGACATTTTAAATAGAAAAAAACTTCATACAGTGGTTCAAAACGAATTTCTGGTCGATGGTATTGCAGTAAATGATAAAAAGTTGATTGCCAATAAATTCAACTCATTTTTTTCTTCAATTGGATTAAAATTAAGTTCTAAAATTCCAGAGTCAAACAGAACACCAAATGAATATATTAGTAATATGGGACATTTTGAAAATAGATTTCACTTAACACCAGTTGATGAAACAGAATTGTCATTATTAATACAAACTTTGAAAGATAAGGCAGCATCTCTTGATAATATTAAACCGATTATTGTAAAACATGCAAAAAATGAACTTATACAGCCTTTACTTTTGATATTCAATAAATCCTTTCAACAGGGAATTTTCCCGGATAAACTCAAAATAGCTAAGGTAACACCAATTTTCAAAAAAGGACAAAAAGACAATTTCTCAAACTATAGACCAATTTCAGTCTTGCCAGTTTTTTCTAAACTTCTAGAAAAACTTATTAACTTCAGGCTCTGTAATTTTATCACAGAAAATGAAATATTATATATTCATCAGTATGGCTTTCAGAAAAATGTCTCTACCTTTATGGCAATCTTAACTTTTGTTGAAAACATACGACATGCGCTGGAGAACAATGAATATTCACTTGGTATTTTTTTAGACTTGTCTAAAGCCTTTGACACTATTAATCATAAAATCCTTCTAGATAAATTAAATTTTTATGGAATTCAAGGGTCTGAACTATCTCTTTTTAAATCATATCTAAAAGATCGAACGCAAATTGTATCATATAACAATATTGACTCTGATCTACAAAGTATATCATGCGGTGTGCCACAGGGCTCAGTCCTTGGGCCGACATTATTCATATTATATGTAAATGACATGTTTAAGGTTTCCAATATTCTAAAAAGCGTAATATTTGCTGACGACACTAATTTGTTGGCCTCAGATAAAGATTTGAAATCTCTAATAGAAAAGGTTAATAATGAACTTGATCTTATGGACGATTGGTTCAAAGCAAATAAATTGTCAATAAACTATTCTAAAACAAAATTTATCTTGTTCAATAAACAGAAACGACAAATCTTTAGAGATATTAAAATTGATATGTCCGGGAAACAAATTGAAAGAGTAAAATCTATCAACTTTTTAGGTGTCATTGTTGATGAACATATTACCTGGAAAGAACATATTAAACATATAGAAGCAAAAATATCCAGAACAATTGGTCTCTTATATAAGATTCGCCACCTATTGAATAAAACAAGTCTTTTGGCAATCTATAATTCCCTGATATACTCACATATAAATTACTGTAATTTAATATGGGGTGGCCATAGCAATGCTCATACAAAGGAGCTGCATTCCCTACTTCTATTTCAAAAGAGATTCCTTCGAATATTAGACAACCAGCCAAGAATGGCACATTCAGCACCTCTCTTTAAAAAGTACAACATTTTACCTGTAAACCAGGTGTATGAATTTAATGTTTCGAATTTTGTCTATTGTTGTATTTACCAGGAACCTGTTTATTCAAAACTATATAATGATTATTTTAATCAAAATGAATATTTTCACAATTATCCTACCAGAAGAAGTCATGATTTACATGCTAGGGCTTACAAAACAAAAATAGGGTTATATTCAATCAAAGTACAGGGTCCAAGAATCTGGAATTCTATCTCAGACCATGTCAGATATTTGCCTTCTTTACTTTAATTTA